TAATAAGTAGGTTTGCTTCCATTTTTTGTCAAATTATTATAGTTCCATTGATTAAACAAGTTTACAACATTTTTTAAACGAAATCTAGAGAATGCCAACTATTTGGGCACACTATTTACCAACCCCCCAGAAAAAAGTTATTGGGGCACCTAAATTAGATGGAACCCTACTGTTAAATAATTTCTTCTCCTACACCACTGAGCAGTTCTGCAGGTCAAGATATTTTTTGCACACCACCACACCCAATCCATATATGCATCATAGAGTTATAATTATTTCCAAGCACCAAATTCTTTATTGAAAGAGTATCTCACCCTTAGCTATGACTATTAAGTATTAACCCACATCCTCATCCAAAAGTACCAGGAATGGAGATAAACTACAACTACTACTGCAAACACTTCAATAAGTACTCACCTTTACTCATTTCTCATACCAAAAACCCGAATACAAAATGAGAAATTCTTACTCTCTCAAGTTCAAGTTCATTACCTAGACATACTTATTTTGTTTTTCTGCTTGTTGATTTAGGGATTGTTTTTATTTAATTGTTTTGTCATTACAATATTTCACATGCAATTTCAATTCTAATTGGACTGATTCATAATTTCAATTCTAATTATAATTTAATTCCATAATCTATTTTAATTGGACAGATTCATAGCAAGAAGAGAAACAGACTTGAGCATAAGAAAATGCAAGATCTTGTATTTGTTAAGTATAATCAAGTTCTTAAAGCTCAATATAATAGCAAGGATGAAATTGATCCAATCTCCCTTGACTATATTGATGATAGTAATGAATGGTTGATTGGAAAAATGGGTGGTGACCAAGATGATGCTGAAAATGAACTTGTTTTTGGTGATGATGACTTGACTTGGGGAGAGGTAGCTAGAGCTTCTGGTGCTGAAGAGCCTAGAAAATATACTAGAAGAATTTGCGGTAGACAATCAGCATTAAAACCTTCAAGTTCTAAAGGAAAAGCTACTGTATAAGAAATTGAAGAAGAAGAGGTTGATACAGAGAAATCAGAGGAAGAGATTGAGGATTATCACTCAAGTGATGGAGATGACAGCAGTGATGATGATGAGATGAATGTAGTTGATGAGGATGACATAGATGCAGATGATTTATCTTAGGTTTTGGAATGATATTATGCTGTTTTTGACTTTCTGCACTATTTTAATTTTTGACTATTATGCTTACATGCACTGCTAGTTTTCTGTTCTGATAATTGATGTTATGAACTTTAAAATCTGTTTTATTAATATATCATGTTTTGAGTACATTTTGAAAAGGTTTAGGTTATTACATAATCATCTTTTTGTATTGTCTGCTTCACTTCGGTGAAGCGCCCGCTTCGCTTTCCGCTTCACCGCTTAAGCCTTTTGAAGGGCTGGCGCTTTAAAGCGCTTAATGCTTTTGACAACACTGCAGCACAATTTATCTGTCAATTGCAGACAAATCCAAGTTCCAAATATAGAAAATCTAAGATGAAAAATTTTCAAGAATATAAGAATGCCTTCATGCTGACAAATCTAAGTTCCAAATTGCAAGATATGGAGAATGAAAATTTTCCACAGACACACAAAGCACCTTGCTATTATGATAGTTTCTTTATACCATAAGTTGAGA